CGTCCCAAAAATCTGCCATTGCCATCTTATAGTAGGTATAGCAGAGTGTATGCAGACTTATTTTGGTGAATTTTTACTGTAGCAGTCTTTATTAATCACCTCCTAAACTTGGCACCAACACTCCATTCTCCATAAGGGTCTGATTGCATTTTTCAGCTATTTTTACAGGCACATGGTTTGGATCATTCAGTTCCCATTCACATTGGAAGAGATGCTGAGGAGAGAGTCTGCAGCTTCAGGTTCCATGGGGTGACCCTTAGTGCCAGAGCCTCAAGTCAGCTGGGCATGCAGCAGCCGTCACTAAAAAGGCACACCAACGACTGCACTTCCTCAGGCACCTAAAGAAAGCTGGGATGTAATTGTGGTTATGAGAAAATGCTACAGTAAAAATTCACCAAAATAAGTCTACTTACACTCTGGTATACCTACTATAAGATGGCAATGGCAGATTTTTGGGACGTTTTGAAATGAAGGAGCAGTGGCCTGTACAAATAGCTGAAAAATGCAATCAGACCCATATACTGTAGAATGGAGTGGGGTGTCAAGTTTAGGAGGTGATTATTAAAAATTGCTACAGTAAAAATTCACCAAAATAAGTCTACTTACACTCTGTTATACCTACTATAAGATGGTAATGGCAGATTTTTGGGACGTTTTGAAATGGAGGAGCAGGGGCCTGTACAAATAGCTGAAAAATGCAATCAGACCCATATAGAATGGAGTGGGGTGCCAAGTTTAGGAGGTGATTATTAAAAATTGCTACAGTAAAAATTCACCAAAATAAGTCTACTTACACTCTGTTATACCTACTATAAGATGGCAATGGCGCATTTTTGGGACGTTTTGAAATGAAAGAGCAGGGACCTGTAAAAAATAGCTGGAAAAAAAGAAGTATTTAAGGTGGACCGGAAAAATCCGAATAAGTAGCTGCGAATAAGTAGCCAACTTCAGCCTCGTCACTAAAATAATAATAATAATAATAATAATAATAATAAAAATAAATGAAAAAGTTTTATAGAAGTTCAATAATATATTAACTAACTCGGCTACACAGGCTTTGATCTGCGGTGGGTGGAGGTCGCGCTCCGGTGGTGGTTTCCCCTCGCTTGAATATCCCGTCCGGGCTGAGACGTTCGAAGTGCTTGGCGGTCTGCCTTGATGTCGTGTGCTGGCCGGAGATCCCACAAGGCCTTGTAGCAGGTTGCAGCCCCAGAGGGAGCCTGCAGACCAGGGAGAGGCGGAGCTCCCAGCCCGAGCGGAACCTCCAAGGCTGCAGTCTGTCTGCAGATTCCCTTTCTCCCTCCTCCCTCCTCCAGCTCCATGAATCAGTGCACGTTCACTGTCCCACCTGTAGTGTAGAGCGAGCCGAGCTGGAAACAAAAGCCTTTTCTGAACTTAGAAAACTCAGATAAACAGCCGAGTTAGTCACACGTATCTTCTGTTCTTATTGCCGAAAAGTCTCCCTTAAGAAAACATGGAGGAATTGGGAAAGTCGTGGCATTCTCTCCGTTTTAGCTCGGTTTCAATCGTATAGACGGGCTGCTGCCAAACTTTCCTGCCCGTCTGCCGTTCCCACTGGGCGGTCGTTCCGTGTAACTTTAACCCGGGGATTTTTCGGCCTGTTGTTTATTATTATTAAAAAAAGAACACCGTGAAGGTTAAGTATTACTTTTTGTATTTTATTGTTCATATACAATTATCGGTAATATTTAAAACAAGTTCGAAGTATACGGTTAACCCCGTTATAGTGGTGTCGTTACAGCATAAATGTTTAACCAGTTAAATGTAGTATTTCGCGTAGAGTTTCCAAACTTTTACTGTAACACTTTGCTATTGAGGCTATAAAACTATTTTTGTGCTTGTGTTGTCCTGTGTGTATATATGTGTTCAGACGTGTGTTCGAACCAGGTTAAAGTCGGTCTCAGTGTTTACTTAGCTACGCTTTCTAAGTATCTCATACCTCTGTAGACAAGGGTGGATAACTGTATTGTGATTGTAGATCTTTTTTTCTAAAAAAAAACATCGATGAATAATTTCTAGTTCTGTGAAGGATGTTAATGTATAACATAAATGGTATTGTGCGGAATTATGGATTTTGTGGAGCTTTCTTTAATATCCCTTTATGTTTTCGGTAGTTAGAGACCCTAGAATGTCGATCTTGGGCTTAAAGAAGAAACAGCCAAAGACTTTCAAAGTGAAAGTCATCACCATGGATGCTGAAGTGGAGTTCAGTTGTGAGGTATTGATGATCGCCGTGGTCTGAGCTATTTGGCTTCAGCTAAACCTTTGGGGTCACATGATAGCGGACTATTTTGAACCAGATGGCTTCTTGTTTGTACAAATTGAAGTATTGTGGTTAGACCTAACTAATGCCTATGGGGCTATCCCACACAAACTGGTTGAGTTTGCCCTACATTACCACCATGTTCCCAGTAAGATCAAGGACCTGATCCTGGATTATTATAGCAACTTCAGGCTCAGGGTAACTTCCGGGTCAGTTACTTCAGACTGGCATCGCCTTGAGAAAGAAATAATAACAGGCTGTACCATCTCAGTTACGCTCTTCGCCCTCGCGATGAACATGGTGGTTAAGGCCTCTGAGGTGGAGTGTAGAGGGCTACTAACCAGGTCAGGGATTCGACTGCCCCCGATAAGAGCCTATATGGATGATCTTACCATCACGACAACATCAGTCCCAGGGTGCAGGTGGATCTTACGAGGATTTGAGAGGCTCATCTTATGGGCAAGGATGAGTTTTAAACCTTCCAAGTCAAGGTCCATGGTGCTGAAGAAGGGGAAGGTGACGGACAAGTTCCGGTTTTCAATCTCGGGAACCACAATTCCATCCATAACTGAACAACCAGTTAAGAGCTTGGGGAAGCTCTTTGACTCCAGAAGGCAAATGAGGAGCTGGGAGCTTGGCTCACCAAGGTGGATAAATCCGGCCTGCCTGGCAGGTTTAAAGCCTGGATCTATCAGCATTCCATCCTGCCACGAATCTTGTGGCCCCTGCTTGTCTACGCAGTCCCAATAACAACTGTGGAATCCCTCGA